ATAATATTTTAAAACAAACATGAGAGTTAAGTATATATTTGTAGGCAGTAGCTATTATTTAGGTAACTACTTGACTGATTTTGTGAAAATTTCAAATTGTTCTTGGAGATATCAGGAAAGTGTAAAGAGTAGTTTACACCACGTTTGATTTATACCAAGTACTGCACTGTTTGATTCTTGCTAGCAGGAAAGGGCTCCGGTCTAAAAATTTTCACATGGCCTCCTTATTATCAAGTTGGGACACTGTACACATTAGCACAGACACCACACACTAGTACTCTTCAGTCTTGCTCCGCGAATCCGGCCACCTTTTTAGAGTTTGCTATATAAATATTTCTTCTTCTTTCTTTTAGGCATTTTAAAGACCATTATAAGGTCCATTGCCGCAGCAACAACATCCCTCCACTTCTCCCTGTCCCTTGACACTTCTTCTCCATTCTCTATCCCTATTATTCTGAGGTCTTCCTTAATTCTATCTGCCCACCGTTGTCTGGGTCGTCCTCTGGGCCGTTTCGTGCTCGGTCTCCATCTCGTTATGTTCCCCAGTATTCCTTCCGATCTCCAAACGTGACCTGCCCATCTTAATCTATAACTCTTCATAATTCCTATAATATTGGCTTCTCCAAATAAACTTCTTAACTCTTCATTTGTCTTGACTTCAAAATCACCTACATCATTATTTTTGGTCCATAAATTTGTCGGAGTATTTTCCTTTCAAAAACATCCAATTTGTTTTCATCCGTTTTGGTGGTTGCCCATGTCTCGCATGCGTATAGTACTATGGGTCTAATTAAAACTTTGTACAATGTTATCTTTGATCTTCTTGAGAGTAATTTTGATTTGAAAAGTGTTGATAGTCCAAAGTAGCATCTGTTTGCTGCTATCAACCTCTCTTTTATTTCTTCGTGACTATTTGCGTTTTCATTCACCCACGCTCCAAGGTATTTGAAGTGTTCTACTCTTTCAAATGAATAACCTTCTATTTCTAAATTTCTTGCCGTGTGATGTTTTCTTTACAATATTAGATATTTTGTTTTCTCTTCGTTTACGCTAAGACCGATTTCTGCCCCTATCCTTATTAGTTCTTTTGCAGATTGTTTTAGACTTTCCTCATTTTCTGTAGTTAACACTAGATCATCAGCATAGGCTACAATTGCAAGCTGTTGGTTATCACTGATTTTTATTCCTTTCGTCTTGCTAAGGACTTGTCTCACCATTGACCCTAAGGCAATGTTAAACAAAGCCGGTTACAAAGCGTCTCCTTGTCTGAGACCTGTCGACACTAGGAATTCATTTGAGTAGTCTCCTCCAAAATTCACCTTGCATTTAGAGCCTTGTACGCACGTTTTGATCATTCTTATAAGCTTTTCTGGTATTCCTATCCGGGCCATTACATCCCACAATTTATTTCTATCTATTGAGTCGTATGCTGCGTTAAAATCCACAAATAACATATGTAAGTCTTTATTGAATTCATGGCTTTTTTCTGCAACTTGTTTTATTATATGAATCTGATCTATAGTCGATTTACCTACCATGAATCCTGCCTGGTATTCTCCAATAACTTCTTTAATAGATGGTTTCAATCTGTTTAATAGGAGGTTAGATAATACTTTGTACGAAGTGTTTAACAGAGAAATTCCTCTGTAGTTCTTCGGATCCATTTTATCTCCCTTTTTATGTACCGGGCATAGGACAGACATTTTCCATGATTCTGGAATCTCCTCCTGTTCCCATATATCAGTAATTAGGTTGTGAAGTTGTTGAGTCAGCTTCTTTCCTAATTTTTTTAGGCATTCTGGGACTACTTCATCAATTCCAGGGGCCTTTCCATTTTTCAGCATTTCTAATCCCATTTCTATTTCTTGTATCGTTGGTTTGTCCAATAGTTCTTCCGCCGTTACATTAACTTCTATTGTGGTCCTATTTTCTTGTTGATTCAACATCTCTTCAATTATCTTTTTAAATTCGTTTGCTATTTTACCTTTATCAGTTATAATGGTTCCATCATCTTTTATTATCATCAATGTTTTCGGTCTATAACCTGTTTTTACGTTCTTTATTTTTTCAAAGAAAGCTTTTATATTATTTTTGTTGTTGTTATTTTCTATTTCTGTAACTCTTTGTTTTTCCCATAGTCTCTTGGCCATTCTTATTGTTTTTTTTGCTTCTCTTTGTTTACTTGCTAGAGTTCTTTTGTTTTCATTACTCGGATTCTGTATCACCTCCAGGCGAGCTTTGTCTCTTATTTCTAAGGCTTTTTTGCAGTTTTCATCAAACCATATTTTGTTTTTTTTCCATTTTATGTGTTTCCCAATATTCTTTCCGATATATCTTTGATTACTTTCATTACTTTCTCCCATGTATTATTTATGTCTGATTCCTGGTTTATTCGTTGTAATTCTTCATTCAGTCTATCCTGATACAATTTTACTACATTAGTTTTCAAAATGTCCCTGTTAATTCGTTTTTTTCCGGAATTTCTTTTCTGTTTTTCCACTGATATTCTAAAATGTATCTTAACTCTTACCAGGAAGTGGTCAGTTATTGCACTGCTTCCTCTCATGCTTCTTACATCTATGATGTTTGACCTTATCCGGTTGTCTACTAGTACATGGTCTATTTGGTTTCTTATCCTACCGCATGGTGATATCCAGGTCTGCTTGTGTATATTTCTATGAGGGAACATTGTGCTACTTACAACCATATTTCTGTTTGTCGCAAATGTAATAAGCATACTACCATTTTCATTCGTTTCTCTGTGTAGGCTTTCTTTCCCAATGGTCGGTCTATACATTATCTCTTTGCCTATTTTTGCGTTGAAATCTCCTAGTACTATTTTTGGTTTCCAGTTTTGTAGACTATCATATAGTATTTCCAACGCATCATAGAAAGCAGTTTTTATGTCATCGTGTTTGTCCTCCGTTGGTGCGTAACAATTAATCATTATTACGTTGTACCACTTACATTTAAGTTCTAATATGCATAGGCGGTCGTTTATTGATTTAAAATTTACTACGTTCGACATGATCTTATCTTTCACTATGAAGCCTACTCCTCGTTCATGTTTCGTTCCTCTACTATAAAACATTGTCATCCCCTGAGATGTTATGCTCCCTGAGTCTTCCCATCTCACTTCTTGAATTGCAGTAATATCTAACTTATATCGTTCAAGACACGATATAGTTGTCGTCAAAGCTCCGGTCCTATATAGAGATCGCACGTTCCAGGTTCCAATTGTTATGTCCGATAGCTCCAATGTCCGAGGAAATACGCGCGAGTACGCATAGTGAGTACGCGCGCGGGAAATTAAATTTCTTTTGAATGGTACACGTGAGTGAGTGAAAAAAGAAAAAAAGGCATGGATAGACTGGGTAATGAGGATAATAAAGAAAGAAAAGAAACAATGTCAATTATATATTTTTTTTAATTATTATTTTTTATGCTAATGATTGACTATCATTTTGCTCAATCGGTATAGTAGTTATGATTGGCATATGATGACTGAACATTATCCATATATCGCGTAAAAATTGCATCGATTGTTGTGCCTGATTTAGTAGTCGATATTGTTGGATCATTATTCAGTTGCAAACTGAATTTGTCTCGCAATAAAGTTACGAGAGTTGCTGAATCAGAAGATGCAAAATTAACATTGAAATCCCCACTCATGACCATTGCACATGTATCTTCGTCACCACCATAAAGAGCTGCACCTTCATGGCTATACACTAAACATGCTTTATGAATAAATTTGATGATATCAGCCATTTTCTGATTTGGGGAGATGTAGATTGCAACCATTATTATAATATTTTTATTTGATAACAAGCATTCAGCAATGCAATAATCACCGACTGACGTTGCTTCTGATTTATTGTATTGTGACTGCCCAACTGTCATTTCTATCGATGGAGTGACAACATTCACTAAATCACTGTTATTGTGATAAATTGCAACTCCTACTGCTCGAACCGCTGGTCGTTTGTATTTAACACAACGAAAATTCGGGATTTCAATATCATTCGTTCCTTGGTCCCAAGTTTCAAAAAACATAAGTACTGAAGCATTTTTTAGTACAATGTCTAAGATATCCTTAGAATGAGCCCGAAGACTTTGGCAATTGAACGAATATATGGATATACCTTTGTTTTGTTGCATAAAATTGACTATCCGTTTGTCAATCGTTTCCAAACGATTATTAGCAAGCCTTGCAAATTCATCTCGGAGACGCTTGGTGGTATCAGTAGCTCTTCGTCCATGATAAAATTTCAAATCATCAGTGCTTGATATAAGATACAATCCCTGGATATCTGTTACTCTCGACAAGGCTTGTGCATGTGTTTTGTTGTACTCATAAACGACCTCAGTATATGTGCTGCCTTGAGATTTTTGAATTGTCATGGCTGACGAGCAAACTACTGGTATATGACTACGTCTGGCGCAGATGGTTTTACTTGTATTGAGGTGAATGGTGGATGATCGCCTTCCTATTGAACAGCAGATCGGCTGATGGAATTTGCTGCAACGTATCCAGAGACTTTTTTTCTAATTTTTTTTGCCAATGTCCATAGGAAATTCTAACCACACAGCAGTAACTCTTGCTTCATTGAGGTCAATATGAACCAATTTACCTACAGCACCGTTTGCCAAACCATCAGATACATCTATATTTGTTGTTATCATGTAATGTACGTTTTTAACAAATATTGTCTCATATGGCAACCCTCCTGTATCAACGATTGACATTTTATGAAGTTTTGCTCGTAAAAGATTCTCTTGGTTTGTTGACGCACAACCCACAAAAACAACTTTTGCTGTGGATACGATTTTATCTTCAGCACGATTTAAAAGACAATTATTGTATTCTTGGAGAGCCTGTTTGTATGAAATAAGCGAATTCCACTTGGACATAGTGCATCCGCTTGCGACTTCGTAAAAAATCTGGATTCCAAAATAGTGATTTCATCATTTTCAAGTTGGTCTCCGATTGTAGCGAATTAAACATTTGCTTGTCTCATAACTTGATCTAACTCATAAAATTTGAGTCCTCGCCATAATGTTGGCCCAATTATTGTCCTTTTGATAGGTAAATAAATTGCAGTAGCTTGAACTGGCGGTAGTTGCCGTAAATCACCAATAAAAATTACATCTAGTGATCCAAAAGATGTTTTAAAATCACCAGTTATTTGTTGTAATCGCCTGTTAATTTTAGAAAATAACTCAGCACTTATCATGCTTATTTCATCAATGATGATTACTTTGACATATTTAAATAAAGCACGATATTGACAATTAGTTTCAAAAAATAGTGACATCAATGCTGCAATAGATATTTTGAAAGCTGTGTGCACTGTGGTACCATCAATTGCAACAGCTGCTTTTCCAGTAGAAGCACAGGTGATATAAGCATTGCAGTGTCCATCGTTATCTGTATAGCGATTATATATCTCCATAAGTAATTTTATGACAAATGTTTTGCCACATGCAGCTGGACCAGTGAAAAATATTTGAAAAGGTGAATCGTTTGGAGAAAGAAGATGTTTGATCACTTCCATCAGAAGTCCTCTTTGTTTTTAATTTGTACTTTGCATTAATTCATAGAACCGATTACGGTCCATCAGGTTTTCTCGTTTCTTTGCAATTGGACCAAGTTTATTGAGAACAGCCAGACGCAAGTCATTATTCATATCAGCACCAGGATTATTTTATAACGCCTCGAATGGATTGGGCTCCTCCAATACGTTGCCAACTTCATGTGATTCATCATCTCCAAAAGACCCTTCGCCTTCCCGGCATAAATTTCTACAAATTTCAATGACTTTCTCAATATCCAAATTAGCTTCAAATTCCTGACGGTATCTTCGTTTCGAAAAGGACAATACAAAGTCACCATTTCCCTTTTATATTCATTCAAGTCATCTCCCATATCGTAATTTCTGTAACGGATTACTTGTTACGGATTTGGGCGAGGTGTATAGTTTGCAACGAATTTTGCTAAATTTATATTTTCCAAATCTTCATGTCTTTGTTCATACTTGTCAAACCAATTATGTGTCCAAATATCAGTTGAATCATCACCAATTTGCATTTTTTCCAATTCTTTGTTTGTTTTTTTTTATTCTTTCTCGCTCTGATGGCTATACTGTTGGAATAGATACAATGACAGCAGAACTTTTTGACATTGGAGCTCTTAAAAGATACCAGGCAGCTTCTTGACTTGGCATTTCAACACTATTGAGCATTTTTATACCAAGGATTCGTGTAATTTCGACAATGTCAAATTCTGGATGTTCATCTATTGTTTTTATAATTTCTCTTTGGAGGTTACTGATACCTCTGTTGCTTTTATTGACATATGCAGATACATAATTAGCGCAAGTGTATATGTCCGTAATAAATTGTATATCCATGTTTGATTTCATAATATTTAAAATAAACTGATTAAATGGGTTATGCCATTTTTCAGATGGTTGGCGCCTCAGAAAAACTCTAGGCCTTTTAATACCTGCTCGAAGTATGTGATGATAGTGATCGTCTGATAAAACATTATTTTGAAAGTAGAATGTGTCAATATCAGGATAATCCGTGTTTTCAATATTACTTTTTATGTTTTTGTAATGTTTAAAATAACCAGAAAATCCGTCTTCTTCTTTTTGCATGGGAGATAGTATAATTGTTGATCGACTTGGCAGGAATGAAGCTTTGAATCGACATTCTTTCCTGTTACCAATAATGTTTTTGTAACATGTGAACGTATGATGATGTTTTTGTAGATTAATATGGCCCGATGCATAATTAGCTGATACAGAAATAACTCGAACAATCAATTCGATGAGACTTGAATACTCTGTACCAATGACATAATCAGTAGCCTCTGCTAACCATAGTAAACTATGTGCATGAGGACTTCCTCTGTGTTGGAATTTTATCCTTTTAAAATAATGAATAACATAATGTCTACCAAAAGGGCTAAATTTTGGTGATGACAAGATATTCATCAATGTATCAACTAGTTTGTTAAAATAAAGAGCACAAGTAACCGGATCTTCATTAATAAGCATTGCTTTTTCATTATAATGTAACTGTTCAATCAATTCTTCCGAAATTGAGACACCATTATTTTTCAATTTATATATTGTATGAAGTAAATTGGTCCATCAAATTTCATTGGCGCTGACAGTAAGAAATATTGTTGGTTTGCCCAACTGTCGAATCATTGCAAACAATTCCTTTTTACGGTGAGCCCAGTACCAAGCTGAGTTGGGGATCGATCGTAAAAAAGCAAGATTTGTATCAATACAATTATTGATATATTCATCCTCTTCTATTTGTTTTTTTGTAATATTGGTATCTTTGCCAATGTGTTTGAAAGCAATCGTAAGGCTATCACGAATCCTTAACCTCATAATTTTCATCGCCATATACAACAAATGTTGTGGTTTAACGCCTCGTCGATCAGAACGTCGTAACTCACTTGAAGCCATTGTAAAAGGCTTTACCTGGACTCCTTCTCCAAAATTCCGAAATTCACCAAGATAAATTGCTGTAAAAGAAAACTCCTCAGCATTTTCATCAAATATCAAACTTTGAGGAAGCTCAGCTTGACCTGGTGCCAAACAGAGATACTCATCTTCATTCCACATCAATGTCTGCTGTTGTGCAATAAGACTCTCTTCAATTGGAATGTGTTCACTAATATCATCGAGATTAATGTCACTATCACTCTGTTGTTGACCATCGAAAAAAGAACGATTAACTGTAATATTATAAGTTCAATAAAGGGGAGATGGAATCAAATACTCCAACCAAACCTTGATGGTCATTTTTTTGACCAAGCCATGTAAATAACTAGACTTGTGTGTTGTTCGGCGTTTGATATGTACGTTTATAGAATGGTCGTCATCAATATATCTTGGAAGATGATGGACCATCGTGTCAACAGAAACAGGTACATTAATGATTTGTCCATAAATTCCATATTGGCCATTACAGTGTCTTAATCTTCGAATTGCCATGAATGGAATACGAGGAGAAATTAGTCTTTCTGAAATCAAGTCCAGTGGTGGCAGATGATTAGGCATTTCTGGATATTTAAAGCCATTATATGTAGCCATAGTTGGTATGTTATTTCGAGACAATGATGACCTGCATGTGCTACATAACAATATATTAATTGTTGGAATATTTGGTATAATTGAATTTAAAATCGTTTGATATTTTGAAGAGGGAGATTTTAGATCTCGCTGGAACCACAATCTGTCACACACTGAACAAGCATGTCCAAAAGAATTATCAAAAAATGTGATTTTTATGTGTTGGTGAGTTCGTTTGAGACGACCATAACCAGGGTATGGCCAAGATTCTACGTCATCGTCATCATAATCATTAATAGATGAAATTCTGTTGAAAGAATCGTTCTCCGAAGACAGACTATTTTGAGAGCCGTTGTCATCGGTTGTATCTAAATTATTTTCGAGATTTGCTGCTAAACAATCAGCAATATTGAAATTATTAGATTCAGTCTCCAAGTTTAGTTTTTGTCTTTCACGGTAATTTTTTGCACGTTCAGCATTTATTAACGGTCAATTATTTTGAAGTTGTTTGTCTATTTTTTTAGCACGATAATTTCGTAAACGTTCACCCTCCGCAGGTGTTACCGATACTCTATCATCTTGACTCGTTGATGGTGCGGGAGAACACGGCTGATAAACTTCAGCTTGAACCACGATTAGTTTGCATTGATTTTCGGCTACTACATGTTCAGTTAATTTTCTTTTTTTTATTTTCATCTGAAGAATTTGGTTCGCCTGAATCCTCAATATTCTCAATGTTTGGAATTCGTTCTGCCATTTCTGTTCGATTATCTGATATTTTTCATCCGATTATGTGCTATTTATAATAATAATAAAATAATGATAGTAATAATGATAAAAATTCAGGGGAGAAACTACGAAAAAGTAATGAATGTTAATTTACATTTATGTAAATACAGCAGATGAATTCCGGGGAGAAACTACGAAAAAAATATTAATTAATTTAAAAAATGAGAAGAAGTATCCGGAATTATTTATTATTGATAGTTTTATTATTCTTTTTATATTTTTATTCGACAGATCGATGGGTAATTGTTTGTAGTATTATTTTTATCCAGACAATAGATTTGTGAGTGAATAATAATAATAATAATAAAAATAAATAATAATCGATCATTAATTATTCATATTAATTAGTATGGGCCAAGATAGATGAATCTGTTTTTTATTTTGCAACGTTTATATAATATTAACGACCACTACTTACCTCTCAACGCTTGTTTCTCTTTTGCATTAATTAATAATAACCGAACAACGAATTAACAAACACTGTGCATGTGTGTGTGCTACGATATGACGTAACCGAACGACCGTCGACCGAACGGATTGGCGAACAATGACGACGGAGAATTCGCACACCTAGTTCGAACTTGAGATTATTATTTCGGTAATATTATATTGTACATTATAATCATTAGGTAAAATAAAAATAGCTACTATTTTTACTAAATCCAGTCGTACGTAGTACGTACAAAAATCCAAGTAACCATTAAAATTTAAAATATTAAAATAGGAACTACTTATCACTTAATAACAATATTATTATATTAACAATGGCTAAAAGCACAATAGATACGTGCACAACTTAGCCATAACGGAACGCGGGCCGCCGCCGCAACTTCCACCCACCCGCCAATCGAAAAACCGTCTCGCCGCACAACCTTGACCTTTAATCGCAAGTCGCAACTGCGCGTGTATGATATTATTATTATCATCGTCGTCGAAACCTCATCGGCTGTCACCACAGATATAAAATATATATCTGTGGCTGTCACCGACCAACATTATATATTTTATAATACGTAATATTATTATTATGTAATATTGACGTGGCCCGATTATAATATATAATCTAATATATAAATGTGAAAATGAAAACCTTTAAGTGATATGTTCTCTTAAACTACTGAACCGATCGTTATGATTTTTTTTTTAAATTGAAGAGCTCATTGCGGAGAAGGTTTATGGCATTTGATCGATTCTCTAGCTTAATAAACAAAGAAGTTATCAATGATTATAAATTTTCATAAAATTCAGATCGAATTTTTTGTTTATAAATGGTTGCCATGAGTGACGTCCTATAAAATGATTCGTTCTGTAAATTTCAATACAGAATTATAGTTAATCGTTTTAAGTCATTGCCACGAGCACAAACAAACCATTTATTATAATATAATACATCGACTATTTGTTATTGTACATATTCAATTAGTACGTTAGGTTAAGATTCATTAAAATCAACGCACGTTGTGTGCGGTGAATGCATTCCGAGGCTGCCGGCTACTAAGGACGAACCGATATATTCTGACCTGTGTAGCGATTTATCACAATGAAAAGGAAAATTAATTTAGGTCGTCCATCGAATATAATAAAACGTCAACGTTTACTCAGATTAAGTCAAAAGAACAATGGCAATAACAATCGCCAAATGACATCGTTTGGTGCAACAGAAATAAGACATGTAAATGTTATGCAAACATTTAAAGTTCAAAGGCAAGTCTATCATTTGGCTGGTTCTTTATTTATTTATTTATTCTTTTTTAGCTATATAATATTATATAAATGAATATTTGTCTGTAGATTAGACCTCTGTTTTTTTAGTCATCAGATTTTAGTACGGTTAGTTTATTATTTTGTATTAATTGATTATATACCGTGATTCATTATGATTCATCCACCGTAGGTGGAATTAAGTAATAACGACAAACTTGGTATAACTTTGATACTTTAGAGTTAAATCATACACTTCCGTACAAACAGCACGGGGTCCGCGATCTACCGCAGGTAGATTGCCTACCTGATAATGTACTGCTGCGATTCAGAATTTTTTATTTCGGGCAACGGAAAAGATAAGATAAATTTTGAACACCGTACACCGAATATTGAATAACGAATTGAACAAAGTTTGAGTCAAATTGAGTTGATACATTTAAAGGGCGACGAAGTGCACGGGATCAGCTAGTAATATAAATATATTATAATATATGATATAACAACACTACCATGACAATATTTATTTATTTACGGACATGTGCGCTTTCGCGTTCGTACGGCCGCCCGTTTGTACGCGCCGCCCGTTCGCTTTTTTTTCCTCACTACTCTGCGTAAAGAATTATAACTTCAAAAAATTAGCATTCCACTCAAAGATTCAAATCAAACTAACCCCCCACACCCCCCAAATAGTATTAACAACACCAATCAAACAATCAATCATTATAACTATACAAAGTGTATACTATAACAATAAATAAATATTATTAAATTAGGTACAAACAAATCTTTTTATTTTACTTTGAAAATACAAAATTTAATTATTTACATTTTTAATATATTTCATAGTTCTACATGTGAATGATTATTATCTTCATTATTTTGTAGCTTAGGACAGTTAACTTCATCAGCACATCGTTTACCCTCTTGTATCCATGATACAACATAAGACTCAGGTACAAACATGTGGACTGGTGACCCTACTCAATTAATCAGCATCAGAGAATTTTTGGGTTCAAAGCATTTCTTTTAGTAGACACAATATTATTCATTGAACTGAAAGCTCTTCCGCATTCACTAGACGATATTGCTACAGTTTTAACTGTAGTTAATAATGGTCTTAAGTCTAAAACAGTTGAACTATCTAAAAGATCTTTAAGTTCATGAAATCCATTTATCGCAGATCTTGCATCAACTTGAAACACAGTGGCTAATCTTTTAATTTCAGAATCACCATATTGTACATCAAATAAAATTTGACGACATGGTCGGTGGGGGTCTGGGGATGGCCACCAAAAGGTTCCACTATAGATTTACAAGTTTTTCAATTATAATTTACATGGGGGACGTACCTACCATCCTTACAAATTAAAAATATTAGAAGGGGCACGCTAAAAAAAATAAAAATTAGCAGGGGAACTCAGCCCCCCTGCGTCCCCATCCACAATTCGAGCACTGTTTATAAGTTTATTTGGTTTTGGTCTATGCAGTATAGAATAATGAAGTTGTAACTATAATATGGTAAGTGTTAATAACAATGTTATTTGTCGCAAGGAATGGCATCACTGCTGGCAAGCTAGGAAAGACCGCACCACCCATCCGCATCCCGTCTGTAGTATGTTCCGTCTATTAATATAAGGTCTATGGGTGATAACTATATATCGGTCTATGACTTCTCCCTTATCCTCTAACCACTTAATAATGTCCGCCTTTCTTGTATTTGAAATTGGGGCTTTGTCCATCTTAACTGAATGGTAGGAAGCGTTGTCCACTACAATAACGGAATTTAGTTTTAAGCGAGGTAGAATACCCTCCATCCACTCACGAAATGTGTCCCCATTCATTTCGTCATGGTAGTCACTTGTGTTTTTTTTTTATTCGAAACACAGCAAACCCCCGGGTAGAAAACCGTCTTCTGAGCCGATGTCGAGTACAATGAGTCGTTTCCATTTGCCTGAAGTATTAACAGCACCTATCGATAGACCTTTTAGGAATGTGTCGAGGTGAGATTTGATTATTCCGTCAACCCACGTTTTCGAAGTACAGTCGCCAGCATTTACGCATGTTTCGTTAAGGAAATAAATATGTTGACCCTCTTCCCGGTATTTTTTGGTGTTGTCCAAATACATTCTTCGCCATACGACAATCTCATTTTTCGGTCATAGCACTGTTGACTGTTCCTGCTTCTTTTACTATACCGGAAATCTATGTCTTTCAAAAGGGGAAATATATTTGTACTGGATATCGGTGGCAAACTGTGGTCGGCGGATACGGCTTGGTAGATTTTATCAACCGTAGGAATTTCACGGCAAAACCATATGCTGCGGTGAACTTGCCTACATACTGCGTTTCTCGCAAAATCATAAAAAAGATCACGAAATGATTTTTTTTCTTGTTCGTTTTGGAACAGGTACTGTGTGTGTCTCCTTGTACGCCTTAATAATATTGTGGATTGAAAGGCCGCTTATGCACAATACTTAAGATATTTGTTCTCGAATTCTTCTAATGGATATTTTAGGTTCGTCATAATACATTTGTACATATTTATAATATGGATTCTTAAATCCTCACTTATAATCTGAAATAAAAATATTTAAAAACAGTCTTAATAAAATTGTTGTCTTTTAAGACGTATTTGCAGTCTTGGGTAGTATTCTGAGTAATGTGTTCCAAATACAGTATTCCGAATACTTTTTCCGACAGTATTCGGAATAACTACAATAATAATTGTTTTATTGTTTTCCTGGACATTTTTACAATATTATACACATTTTAAAATTTTAAACCAAGTATCAACAACTTATTTATATTCTATTTAGAATTATTAAATTACACATGTTTATTACATGCTTACTATATACAAAGTATAGTTATCCGGGTACACATATATACACACACAATTGTTAGCCAATTGACACCCAATGTTAAGTTCGTTAGTTCTGTTACCAGTATAGCTCCCCTCAAGCAATCGAAGTCCGTATGACGATACTGTTAGTAAGATAATAAGTATTTAGTATGCAATAAACATTGTTTAGGTATTTCATGAGTATTGTGTATGTATTTAATGAGTATAATTGTATATGTATTCAATGAGTATTGTGTATGTATTTAATGAGTATTGTGTTTGTATTTTATAAGTATTGTGTAAATGTGTAATAATAAAATCATATAAACTATAGAACTTAATATTTTATCTATCTTTCCTGAAGATCCTGAGTTACGGTTAAAATATAATTCATAGGGCTCTGGAAACCCTCACTGAATTGTCTAAATATGACAAGTTCCAAAACCACGTTACAGTGTCTTACTTGTTTTTCTCAGTTTGTTTAAGTAGGTATCAAGAACACACTACTACAAAAAATCATCAATTAAAATAAAATAATATATATACTATAGGATCAAACACCTTGTGCAAATCAAATAGCAGTGTTCTTTTAGTCAATTTTGATCGTACTGGAGTTGGTATGATATTGAACCTGAACTCATCAAGTACTGGATTCCAACATGAGCCTAGAGATTTGATTCCTCCAGTCTAGAGTCTCCTAATTCCAATGTGAATAAGGGATGCCTGACATTTTTTTCAATACGTCTCAGGATGCAGGAAGGGTCCGAACACCATTTCCTTAGAGGACATTTTGCAGAGGCTAGGATTGACGTTATCTCTTAGTACAATTGAATACATTCGGCTTCGGGTTCACCTCCCGTCATGAGGTCATCCATTTCAAAATCCCTTGTTATCGCATGCGCAGTGCTGGGATACGCTTGTTGTGCCAACGTCACCAAGCACTGGGTTATCATGAACGATGCTGGTTCAGTACAATAAGTCACGGTGACCTGTTGATAGGTCCGGAAAGCTTCACTAGGATCATTTCTCCAGACTATCCGTTGCAAATCCCAGTCTTGTTCTGCCACAGCTACTTGTCGGAACATCTTATCGATATCCGACGAAATTACATATTGATATTTTTGAAAACGTGTAAGCATTGAAAATATGTCCTCCCGTGTCTGGGCCTTTTTGAGGCATCAAAATCGATTAGAATTTTAGTTGTTAAACTTGAGCTCTTGAATACTGCATGGTGTGGTAAATGATCTTAGGAATATTCGATCAATGCACAACTTCTTGCATATGGCATGTCTCCAGATAATCCTTCATGAACGTGTACTCATTTCGTAAGTTTGTAACTTGCTGTGATTTTCTCTCCATACTTAGAAACCTAGATGTAGCTGAATTGACACTCTGACCTAAATTAGTTCAGTCTGTTTTGATGGGTAAATGCAGCACGAAACGACCTTCATAATTTCGTCTGAATGTGGAGTGAAAGTGTTCAAGCGTATAGTTCTCTTCGATAGAACACTGGTTTGCCTTCAATTGTTTGTCGCATAATACATCTTAATGGTTGAGAATTGCCTTTTATTCCCAACTCTCTCTGGCTCAAACAAATCGGAAAACACCCCGCCGCCGATAAGCATGTCAACTTTTCCCGAATTGTCAAAGACGGGATCAGCCAGTTGTGGCATCAGGTTTTCTGGTATATCCCATCCACTTCTTGGTTTTAAACAACTGGGTAAGCCATCAACCAATATTGGCAGTACATGACAAGACAAATATACTTCAAACTGGGTTACACGAGACCTTATCTTGACAGATATACAAGAGACTGACTGTACCCAACCCGCTCCAATTCCACTTACTGACACCATTGTTTTATGACATTTAAGTTGTAATAACCTAGCGAAATTTTTGGACAAAAAATTCATTTTCGATCCATTATCCAATATGACGCGACATTTCCTTGATTGACTATGGTTGTCTGTAACCAGTACAGACGCTGTGGATAGAAACACATGACCTCCACTCGCTGTGGTAAGCGCTGCAATGTTGCCTGATGTAGAAATAGTGCTGTCGCCAGCTTGATTATCACCCAGAATCCACTCAGAACATCCAATCCAACATCTGATGGCATTTCTGGCATTAAAAGGTAACGTCTTTCCTACTGAACATGGGCGCCCACCGCGGTGGACGTAAGCACTCGAAGAGGCCCAACCCCTCGCCGGTTCCCACGGAACACAAGAAGCAGAAACAACAAGGTCGTCAACGAAGTGCACCTCCATCTCCAGTACAGACTGAAAGCGGCTCCATCTCCAGCGAGTCATTTGAAAGCAGCTCCGTTTCGAGTCAAAGCTCACTCTTCACGCCATCTACTCCACCACCAAAAGCCTTCCAAAGGGAACGTATCCCACCAATAATCGTGGACCCGACCCACTGGGCTACGGCTGCACCCATGATCATGCCTTCATTCACCCAGGACAAACTCACGGCCAAGTTCAGTCAGAACAACATCAAGCTCCAAGCTGTAGACTCAACCACCTTCCGTTCAGTACAGGCCGTTATGGTAAACGCCAACATACCCTTCCACACCTTCTCTCTACCAGCAGAACGTCAACTCAAAGTGCTGCTCAAGGGCGTCCCAAGCTACAACACCGAGGATTCCGTGAAATCTGAGCTCGAATCACTAGGATACACCATCTCTCATGTGCGCCAATTCCTGAAAGACGGGAGGAAGCTGCCGATGTACATGGTGTGTCTCCCAAACACCCAGCTAAGCAAGAACATCTTCAACCTACCCAGTCTATTCTACGTAATCATCCGCTTAGAGGCCTACAAAACATCGGGACCATCTCAGTGCTTCACATGCCAAGGTTTCAGACATTCATCAGCTAATTGCAAGCACCAGCCAAAATGCGTGAAATGCGGCAACGACCATGCAACCAAGACGTGCATCAAAACTCCTGACCAGCCGCCAAAATGTTGCAACTGCAATGGCGAACACGCGGCCAACTACTGTCAATGCCCCGCCTACATCAAGGCTACCTCTGCAAAGAAATCCAAACCACATGACATCACACCGACACCAGTTACTCAACCAACATCTATACCACTCACTAGCACCTATGCACAGGCTCTATCACCGTCAAAATCTCAAATAGCTCCTCCAGTCCAACCGCTAAACGAGATAAACACAAACCTGATGATATACTGAACCACGCCATATATCAGATATCTACTGCATCGAACTTCAAAGACACCATCCTGTTGGCAATATCGGCCATAGTCTCACTCATAAATCAAGATGGATGAACAACTTAAAATCTTCTACTGGAATTGCCAAGGACTGGGCAACAAAAAATCAGAACTCCTCCATTTCATAAGACAACATAAAATCCACATCATCCTACTCAGCGAAACCTACCTCAAACCCACAGCGTCATTCAAACTCCCAAATTACCACATTTACAGAAATGATCGACCTACTCCTCCCGGCCAGACAAGAAGCGCCAGAGGCACAGCGATCCTAGTAGCCAACAACCTCGTTCACTACGAAGTCCCTATCCAGACAAACTCTCTGGAAAACACTACCATCCACATCCAGATAAACAACCGAGAGACCAGACTCTCGGCAATTTACAAAAGGTCTATAAATCCACTTATGCCATCAGACGTGGACAACCTATTAGACACTGACCTTCCAACAATTCTCGCGGGTGATATGAACGCTAAACACCCTTTTTGGAACAGCCGAAGAACAAATGCTGCTGGCCTGATACTAATAAACCACATGGAGGAGAATGACTAAATCATTGTTTCACCAGATACCCTGACCCACCACCCAGACCAGCGCCAACATCAACCTTACGTCCTAGATATTGTAATACTGAAGAACAACCACCTACAATACGAGCTCTGCAACTTCACAGACGAACTCTCGTCTGACCACAGTCCGGTCATCTTAACACTTCGCGGCAAGCCATCGTCCGACCCACCAAATCAGCAGAGATATGTCACAAACTGGCCAAAATTCGCAGTCGATCTGCATTTTGCCATCCCAAGTCCGAATCCAATCATCAACTCAACATCGGAACTCAATCAAGCGATCGAGAACTTTACCACTACTGTCCGGGACGCCATGTCCAAAAATACATCTATCCTCGACAACCAACCAAATCAAGCACGCATACCAGACAATATCCAGCTTGAAATCACAAAAAAGCGAAGACTACGGAGGGCCTGGAAAAACACCCGGAACCCAGAATCCAAACACAGGTTCAATAACCAGACATCCAAAGTTAATAGGCTCATCCAACTTCACAGAGCCGCCGAATGGGACTCCTACCTTGGAAAACTAAGACCTGGAGACTCAACAATTTTCAAAATCAACAAATCTCTAACCAACAGAAAACCTCCAAACCGTCCATTAAACGGCCAACAAGGACCCGTCTTCGATGCCCCAGGGAAAGCTGAACTATTCGCTGCTAACTTAGCCACACAATTCAACTGCCCGGATGGAACACCAGCCACCAACTTACTAGTCGCCAACTCAATTCAAATCCTAAACTCATCAGCAAAATCCCCAATCCAGTCGGTGTCTCCAGGAGAAGTTAAAGACATCATTAAGCGACTACCACGCAACAAAGCGCCGGGACCCGACGGCATCTCCAACACGGCTCTCCGTCACTAACCACTAACTCGAAACCACGCAAAAAGCAAGACGCACTCGAGCCGCACTGTACCCCGTGCTCAACCGGCTGAGTCCGATTCCAGTTCGAACGAAGCTCAACATATACCAGATGTACGTCAAAACTATAATCACATACGCCGGTCCAGCATGGGGTGCACTTATATCAACTGCAAACTGGAGACGGCTGGAAGCAGTACAAAGCATAGCCCTCCGAATAATCACTGGCTCGCCCTGGTTTGTCCGGAACACCGTCATTTCAAAATCCAGCCAAGTTCCATCGATCCAATCAACCATCACTCAAAATTCAAAAAACATGTTCATCAAACTCCAACAATTCAACTACAACCACCTACAAAGCATAGGCAAAATGATCGGCCCACCTGAACTCAACAGAAACAGACCCGGTGAACTGACCAGGCGCACTTAAAAAGCACCTCAACCACACCACCTTCTACTCTGAGTCATGGGGCTAAACCCCCCGAAGCTCAGGAAAAGGACTATAAGTCCCTCCAACCGTGCAATGCAATTGATTGTGGTTGCGGGCAACAGTCATGTGCTTTTCATAATGCAGAAGCATGTTGTGTTTCTATTTACATCTTAGCACGTATACTTTGATCTACAGGTATCAGAAGAGTGGAATGGGGATAGGCAGTTGAAACATAGTTGGGACGTTCTTATAGTATTTAGATGTTCCGCTATTGAAAGATCCTTGAATATTTCACACATGAACAGCATATGACTCTCCGAACAACAAGGACATAGATAGTAGACTTGTCATTCGCAGAAATAATCGCCTTTTTGTAGCGCTATTTGATAAAATCTTCTTTGAGCTTGAACATCTTGACTGACCCTCCAACTACTACCCGATGTCGACGTGTAGGGCTCTGAAGTTTCTATAGCAACGAAACGACTTGCTATAATTTTTTCCAAATCTGAGTATTTCAGGAGCCTCGTGTTCTTAATATAAATATGTTATAATATAAACGTCGACCAGCACACGACAATATTAATAATTTGCGGGTTTGTTGACACCGGTGCGCGAAACAGGACTGCGGCGGCCGGGCTAATCTTCCTCATGGCGAGTCGTCGGCGTCCGTATTATATAATTAGGTAATCTACATTTATTACATTTACATATTACATAATAATTCACGACACAATCAACATTGAAAAATAAAATATACAATAATGTGTGTTGTGTGTGCGTGATGGACGTCTGTGGTGGAGTGGTAGGTACGTGGCGTTTATCAATAGGTACCTATATTATTCGTTGGCTTGGACAATTGCATTGCTTAAGGCTATAGCTGACGTGGCGTCTCGTGTGAAAGATACAACCGATTTGAAGCCCAACTTATTAACGGCAGCTAGTGAAAAAATTTCACCCCTGGCATTAGCTGACCCGAGGTTTGATTGTCCTGCTCCGGTCGAGTTATTATTATGAGCTGACGTATTTTATCGAAGTCTGGATGGGAAACGCGTTCTGCTGGATCCCTCGCTACCTGCGACCTACGGATCGATCTTCGGATGGATTGTTATCGGTCCTGTTCCCGGGGTGGACCCTGATATTTATCTATCTCACGTGGTTGTCACCCTTGCAGTGTCATTCGAGGACATGGTTCATCGTTTCTGGCAAGTGGAAGAACCCGATACAGCTCTTGCCACGTTCCATGACGAGGGCCAATGTGAAGTTGTCTATAGCGCCAAGCGGTATTATGACACTACTGGATGATATGCCATTCAAGCCCCATTCATCGCAACGAATTATTTCCTGGGTCTCGTCAAATCGTTTCTTGTCGTTTTCAGGACCTGAAACGGAAGCTCCAAGCTTAAGATATGCTGTACGCCGCATACAAATAGTTCATGTCAAAATATGAGTCGTTGGGATACATGAATATCGCCACTGATGCCGTCACGTACTACATACCCCATCACCCTATCTTCAATGTGGCGGGCAAAATATGAGTGGTATTTGACGACTCCGCCACCGCTAGCTCGCAACTGTCGCTAAACCAATACTTGCACACTGGGTCGAAGTTGCAGCTGGACATCCTGGACATCCTTACTCGTCTTTGCATTCATGAGTTTGTTTTCACCACCGACGTATGTAAGATGTACCGACAGGATCTCGTTCGCCCGGAATACCGCAGCTTCCAACATATATTTTGGCATTCATCACCATTGGGGGAGTTGAAAGAATACCAACTCAACACCGTCACCTACGGAGTCAATTGCGCCCGCTTCCTGGCATTACTCGTGCTGAAGGATATCGCCGATAATGATTGAAATGACTTCCTGGAAGTCCAGGATGGTCTGAAGTATCGACCTACGTTGATGACATTTGTCTAGGGCCGACACCGAGGAACTACTATCTAAAGTATAGTCGGACTTAATAGCCGTGTTTGGCCGCTCCGCACTTGAACTGAAAAAATGGTCTAGCAGCTCACATACTATTTAAGATTTCTTCAGATGACAGGGTTTCCGACGTGATCAAATTAGACGACAAAGAAGGAAGTATGTTTAAAGTCTTAGGCCTCCAATGGGATCTCATCAAGGACAATTTTGAGTTTGACGTACACCCAGTATCTAAGGTTGTCACTAAACCATTGGTGTTATCCACCATTGTCACAATCTTCTACCCAATCAAATTCTTTGCTCCTGTAATTTTTCATGCAAAACACATTATGCAGCAAATTTGGAAGGTTGAAATGGGATGGGACGATCCTTTACCAGATGATCTAGTTCAAACCTGGAAACTTTTACTCAACGACCTCCAAGTATCTTCAAAGGTCGAGATTTCTCGTTTTTTATCGATAACTCTTAAGTTCAAAGAGCAACTATGTCGATTTTCGATGCCTCGGAGCACGGTTCTGCCACGGTAGCATACTTGTGAACAGTCTTGTTCGGGGCTGGTCACTATGCATTTCCTAGGTTTCAAAACCAAGATGGCTACTATGAAGACCAGCGCCATCTCAAGATTGTGAGGCCGTTCTTCTGGCCCGTTGGTTGACTCGCCTCCTAACAGTCTTTGGGGATCTACTCCTCGTCGATGGGATTTTAGCGTGTCAGATTCTCAGTTAGTGTTATCATGGTCTATTAATCCTCGCACTTGTTTCAAGGTATTTGTCTCAAACTGAGTATATTTACTCCGTCAATTGGTACCGTCTTGTCACTGGGGATACGTCCGGTCAGCCGAAAATCCTGTGGATTACGCCTCCAGAGGTTTGTGTCCCTCAGACTTGGTTAAGAATTTGTTATACTGGTCGGGTCCAGCCTTTCTCACGGACACTGTTGAAACTTGGGACATGTTGGTCGCGTTGGTCCCCATCGAACAGCTATGAGAAATCTGGTCCATAAAATATTTTTGGTTTTTTTTAGCTATTTATAGACATAAGAAAATTTTGTTTTTAACAGTTTTTTTTTTAAAAATATTTAACGTTGAAAAAACATTTGGCTGTGTCAAACACTTGAAAATTGAATATAAAGTTTCACATAAGTTGTTGATAGAGGAAATGAAAAAAAAGTTGAGCGTAAATCCTCTACAACTTTTTATAAGCGTTTTGAAGTTAGAATTTTCATAAACTCGTAAATTAAGGGTCCCGGTGGCCGGTGCCAGTTTTTCAAATTGTCCACAATTCTATGGCGTGTCTTTGCTACGAGTGCGCGTACTATTCGCCGTCGACACCATCATTGTGTAATTATTATTTACGTGATTTCTTCACTGTCGTGTTCATTAAAGCTTGTATAACTCCGCGTATGCGTTTTTCATTAATTGTTATTAAATGTATTAAAATAAATCATTAATGTAATTAATTGTGAGCCCGATGATCAAAATTATTTAGTAACTGTACTACAAAAACTTTACAGAATATCGAAAATCTATTTCCTACAAAACATAGAAAAGAAGTTATTGAATTCAAATTAGTTTTGAAAATTGAAATCGGACTTCTAGAAGTATGTTAATTTTTTTTTCGCTTTTGGCATTATTCTCTCTCATGTAAGTAGGAATAAATAAATAAAAACGACGAGTTTTATTTTATTTTCATATGTCTCACTTGTTGAGATTTATTACCAAAGTAGATGTTTTATCTAGTATAGTGACTTGTTATTGTTATTTGTTAGATAGATATGCATGTGAAATACAACGGCATGTTTATTGCTACTGTTTCTGATATCGGCGATATGTGTATAAGTCGTTGCTATTCTGGTGATAATCAGTTTATAATTATGGATGCCGTTTACATCCCTCCAAATAATTCATTGCATGCTATACGAGATTTCTTGTATGAAAATTTATTTATTTATTCTCATGACGCATCTGCATGGCTTCAAAAAAAAAAATTGGAAAAAGCTTTGATGATTTGCCAATGATTTTGAGTGGAGATTTCAACATAAACTTTGCAGACGATAAAATCAACTATTAATTGAATTTTTAAATAATGAATTTGGTTTAAAGATGTCAAATGGGCGCAATCTGAGCACAACGAAATACAAAAGTACTATTGATGCGGTCTTTACCGACTTTTAAATCGGTTCGTATCAGAATTGTTCTTTTCTTACTTCAGCTACCATAAACCTATCGTATCAGTTTTGGTGATTGTCGACGATGGTTCTGATAATGATGATGGTGAAAGATTCGTTGAAAATATGAATGGAAGTTGATTAAAAAAAAAATGTAAAATAATTAATTATAGTGCAATAAATGAATATTGTATATTACCACATAAATGATAGTACTTTTATAATGATAATTAAAGCAATTTGTGCAAAATTATTACCTGACCATTCCAAAATATCAAAAATGCACGTTAATATTCAAGTTTTCACTTCAGCCGGCACTCCCAGAGTGCTGCAACCCGTGGTCTTTTTTTTTTAAATTGTCTTGTACAAATGTGATCTATTTTTTTTTTTTTTTTTTTTTTTGATCTTGAATACATCGACATCTAGGTCATTAGTACAAGGTGTTAAGTTAAGAGGTATTTACAATAATATATTTCATAATTTTTTTTTTTTTTTTTTAAATTAATTTATACAATTCTGATTTTTTAAGGAATAAAATTAAGTTGTTAGTGTCCTGTGGGTTTGGTCCAAGTGCTTGACAGATTTGTTCGGAGATGTGGGATTGATCGCGGTACTGGTTGTATTTATGGCATTCGGTGATGATATGTTTTACCGTTAGGGGGACTCTGCATGTGTCGCATAATGGAGGTTCGTCGTTGCTCATCAAGTAGCTGTGCGTTAGATGTGTGTGTCTATTCTATTTATATAGATGACTAAGAATCAATGTATATACTAGCAGATACATTTGGCAAATTATAACTATAATATAAAGTATTATTAAAAGTTAAATATTCCTATTAACAATTCACTTTATATTGCTAAAATATTCATCTTCAATATTAGTGATTAGACAAGCTTATAGTAATATAAAAATGAATATTGAATAACTTGTATCACTGTACCCAAGGTATGTAACATTTAGCCTTGTCCTGGAGTAATGTGTTACAAATTGTTTTTTTATTTAAAGAAGTTTTTAACTTACAATTCATATTTTTCTTTTTTACTAGTTCTCATAGTTATATCAATCATTACATGTGTGTCTAATAAAAAATAAAAATAATAAATTATTTTATTGCACCACTTTTGTGTAAAATACAAAAAGACCAAAAGTGTATTATTTAGCATGCTCATGCTCTCTACATATTATATTGTATATTCACACGATGATAAAAACATTTTGCATATTTGTAGCTTGAAAGTTTAATGCAAGGTTCCTCATTATAATTTGTTATAATAATATTAGAAAAATATTAAAAGCACATTGCCACGATTTTTTCGAAGACTTCTATTATCCAAGGTCGTGTCTGGTAAACTACCAGTTGTAGTAATGTAGTATTGAATAAAAATTATATACTTAATAAAATGTGAACATTGTCACAAATTCTAAATACATTTTTTTTATGATTATTATATACCTAGTTATAACTTATAATTTAATATCGTATTTTAAATTCAAGTATTTCAACAATAAACCATGCATATTCGTTAAAATAAACCTGACGAGTAGAAAATTGACGCTTGTGTTGCTATTTTGCCTAACTTGTTCGCCTTTTAATCATACGGTAATATTAAATTCATTGTTAGTGGTAAAAATAGCTATTTGCATTCGAGCCACTAATCACCATATCTTGTAAACATGAATTATTACTGTTTGATTTTAATATAGAATTAAATATTCAGTATAGTGCCTACAAAACTATAAGAAACTTTTTGTTCAAATTTCGATTTATATTCATCAACATTTTTAATAAAATCACCTTCAATATATTATATTAAAGAGGGATGAGTACCTATATTATCATTTCACAATGTTGCACTTTTTGTTTTTCCTCTCAGCCTCAACCACAACCGAAACCAAATTTCTTCTAGTTGGTCCAACCTTGTGTTGCTAGCATACGAGAGGCAATAATTAGCTTATTATCAAACTTTAAGTTAATAAAATCGTCTGTGTTTTTAGTGTTTGTACGTTGCGGTATTTTACAAGCGCCGGGAAAAACAACATAAAAATTAAGGAAAAACGGGAATTTTTACGCAAAATTGGTTTTCCAAAAAAACGATTTTGGTTCTTGGTGTAACTCTAAAACAAATGAACGTACCTATATACATGACATTTTCACTTGTTGTTTATATTTGCATTTTCTATACACAATAACATTTTCAAAATATTTTGATTTATTTTGAACTGTTAAGGGACATTTTAATTTTCCATTTGTTTTTAGTTTTTTTCTAAAAATATCAATAAAATATTATTTGTTGGTTGCGAAAGCTTGAAAATTTAATAGAAGGCTCCTAGTATATTGTTTCAAAGGCAGATAAAAAATATTAAAAATCCTTAGTCACAATTTTTTTTTATAAGCATTTAAAGTTCAAAAATTGACAAAAAATGGAAAAATCACTAAAATCAGCAAATTATTTTGAGTTAAGAATTCGTAAAAATTTTTCTTTTTAAATCTAAGATTTGACAATGTAATACAAGATTCCTTATAAGATTATCTACCTTTATCAAAAAAAAAATGTGAAAATATTTTGACTCTTTTTGAGCTGTTTACGGAATATAAGAATTGATAAAATAAACATTCAGTGAAATTTTCATGTATTTACAGTTATTTTTGAACGAAATACACAGACACAAATAAAATAAAAAAAATTATAAATTAAAAAAAAAAACACAAATCATTGTAAAATCAATACATTCATCGTTCCACTCAGAATCAAAAATGAAAATATAATATAAAATAATATTAATGTAACTTGTGATTTCCAATAACCAATTGAGCTAGGTAAGTACTTGAAAATGTTAAGCACTTCTTCTGTATGGGAAAAATAAACAGTTGTACACAGTAAACTGTGTTAAAATTGTTGGACATTATCAACAATTATTCACATAAATGATTTTTTAAAGAAAATATTAATAAATATAATTTTTTATGGTAACAAAATAATTAGGCGTGTTTGCATGATTAAAAATTAAAAATATGCTAATATTCTGTTTGAAGAATGTATATAATATCCTCAAAAAAACTACTTCGGAGAAGTAAAAAAGGCTTTCTGTGCGTAAGTTGAAGAGATTGGGAGAAAAGATAGAACTTTGGTGTTAATAAAGATGTGAAATCAACCTCAAAGTTCTGTGCCAAAAAGGGCCACGGTTGAAAAAATAGAATTTGGGGCTTAATAAAGAAGTGAAATCAATACTCAAATTATGTGCCTCAACTTGAAAAAATATCTTATTCAAAAAAATTTCAAGATGTTCTACTGTACAAACATTAAAAAAAAATATTAGCACAGAACGGCGTACAATAATGATGAATTAATAAAATTAGCCGTAAATCGGAATTGTCGACTTGTTTACGAGTTAATCTGTCTGATTTGAATTTTTGTTAACAAACTGTAATTCACGCCGTTCTGTGCTAATATTTTTTTTTTAATGTTGAACATCTTGAATTTTTTTTGAATAAGATATTTTTTCAAGTTGAGGCACATAATTTGGGTATTGATTTCACTTCTTTATTAAGCCCCAAATTCTATTTTTTCAACCGTGGCCCTTTTTGGCACAGAACTTTGAGATTGATTTCACATCTTTATTAACACCAAAGTTCTATCTTTTCTCCCAATCTCTTCAACTTACGCACAGAAAGCCTTTTTTACTTCTCCGAAGTAGTTTTTTTGAGGATTTCAATTATTTTTCCGAAGCACGTTTTACTGTGATATACTGAGGATTATATATATTATATTTATGGATTACATTTTTTCTAATCATTATTTTTATTTGTGAATAATAATTCTATAAAAATAGAAATAAAAATATATAAATGTTTATAATTATATAATATATAATATATAATTATAAATTTATATTAATAATACAATTATTTAATAATAATAATTATTATTATAGTATTAAAATAGTAATAATAAGTACATATTTACGTAGCTGTTGTTTTGTAACAATAAATCGCGTAAAATAACGTATGTAATAATGTAAATGCACGAGACCTCGGTATCGCAACAACGCGAGTACGTAAAAAATATTTTATAATATAATAAAAATAAATAATAATTAATAATAATTCTGCAAACGTAAAACTAGCTCGCTGTAGTTGTGGGTGAGGTTCGCGGTACGGTAGCGGCCGGCGCGTGGCGGTTGCTACGGCGAGGCGTTGGAAGGGGAAGTTTGGGCAGCCGCATCTCGCTGTATGACGGACGAAAGAAAAAGACTCACAAAACTGCAGTTTTTAGCTCTGTCTCTCTCGCACTCTGCATTCAACCAACGCGTGCGAGTGAGAGGTCCAAGCGCCGAAACGAAACTTAATGTATAATAGTCTCGCAATCGGTTGTCGGTGTGTTGTTTCTTATCGGTGTTACTTATGCACAGAAAGGAGTCTCTAGCGAGACTCTTCGATATATTGTCTGATGTAGGTATATCCGCTACCAGTACCTAAACAAGTTATTAGTAGTAGATTTATAAATCTAAAAATATTAATAGCAATATTTAATATTGTGGTACCTACATGTAATTGGTACCTATAACTTATAAGCCACAAATCATCGGTGCAAATAGTGGGGAAGGCCTTAATCCCCCAACTTAAAGTTCCGTACTTAGTACTATAGTTGCAATATATAATTTTTATAAAATAATATAGTAAGATCGTTAGGTTTTAATCTCAAACCAAAATATTGGGCTTCTTGCGCCTATGCTACGAATAATATATTATATAGCTTAACATTTTTTTAAGTCGAAAAAAACACTGGTTCCTGTTATATTATAATAGTTTGATAATTCGATGCGATTATTTTATTGTTAGCCACTAACT